TTGTACTGAACATCGCTCAAGAGATTACTAATAATGCTAGTACTTTTAATTCTGCTTATATTGCCGAGTCTATTGATTTGTGGCATGGTAGACTAGGGCATGTTAATATTGCTTCTATTAAAAGACTTAGAAAAATGGAATTAATTATTGTACTTAATATTGATAATTTTTCTAAGTGTCCTGTTTTTGTAGAAGCAAAACATACCAAAAAGCCTTTTAAGAATATAACTAGTAGAAAACATAATTGCTTGAACTAGTACATTCATAGTAAGGGTGGAAAGAAATACTACATTACCTTTGTAGATGACTTTTCTAGATACACTAAGGTATATCTTCTTAAGTCAAAAGATGAGGTTGAAAGGATGTTTTTAAAATACAAGACAGAAGTAGAAAATCAATTAGACAAAAAAATTAAGAGGTTTAGGTCTGACATGAGTGGTGAATATAGTACTAATACTCTAGAAGTCTTTTGTGGGGAAAATTGTATTATACATGAGATTAGTGCTCCCTATACTCCCCAACAAATGGTGTATCCGAACAGAAAAATAGAACCCTTAAGGAAATGATGAATTCTATACTTTTGAGTTCAAGTTTATCTGATAATATGTGAGGGGAAGCTGTTTTATATGCATGTTATGGTCTTAATAAAGTCCCTCATAAGAAGTTAGATAAAACTTCATATGAGTTATGGAAAGGATTTGCCCCTAACTTAAAATTTTTGAAAGTGTGTGTGTGTGTTTGGCTAAAGTTGGTCTTCCTGATTTTAAACAAGTAACTGTTGGACCCAAAACTTTTGATGTTATTTTTATTGGTTATGCTCAAAACAGTACTGCATATAGATTTATGTCTTTGAATGATAGTTCTATTTGTGAATCTAGAGATGCATAATTTTTTGAGCATGTTTTTCCATTGAAAAATAATGTGCCTAGTGATGTGCCTAATGATGCTTCTACATCTATGTCTGTTAATTCTCATATTGTGCCTTCTTCTAGTGTTATTGCTAGTGAGCATAAAAATAAACTTAGAAGAAGTAAGAGCCGTAGAATTGAAGCTAGCTTTGGTCCTGACTTTTTTACTACTTTCTTGACTGAAAATGTTGATCTTGATGTTTTGAGGGATGACTTAGTGTCAATCTATTTAATAGAAGAAGACCCTAAGACATATAGTGAATCACTGAGGTCAATAGATGCTAGTTTTTGGAAAGAGACCATTAAAAGTGAATTAGACTCTATAGTCTCTAATCACACTTGAGACTTAACTGATTTGCCTAAAGGTTGTAAACCCATAAGTAGCAAGTAGGTATTTAAGAAGAAATTGAGACCTGGCGGTACAATTGAAAAATATAAGGCCAGACTTGTTATTAGGAGTTTTAATCAAAAGAAAGACATTGATTAATTTGACACTTATTCTCCTGTGACTAAGATAGCGACTATTAGAACTCTTGTTGTTGTAGCCGATATTTATAATTTAGTAATACATCAAATGGATGTTAAAACGACTTTCCTAAATGGTAACTTAGAGGAAGAGATCTATATGTCTCAACCTGAGGGATTTATGATCAAAGGACATGAGAATAAAGCATGCAAATTGAGAAAGTCTTTGTATGGTCTAAAGCAGACACCTAAGCACTAGTACGAAAAGTTTAATAGCACATTAGTGGATAATGATTTTATTGTTAATGCATCTGATACTTATGTGTATTCCAAGATGATAGGATCAGATTGTGTTATTATATGTTTGTATGTGGATGACATATTAATCTTTGGCCCTAATGTGAATGTCTTTAATAAGACTAAGAATTTTTTGTCTTCTAAATTTGAAATGAAAGATCTCGGAGAAGCATATGTGATTTTAGGGGTTAAAATCAAAAGAACTACAAATGATTTTTCATTGTCTCTATCTCATTATATTGAGAAAATATTGAAAAAGGTTTAATTGTTGATGTAACACATGTGAGAACTCATTATGATCCTAGAATACACTTGAAGGAATAAGGAATCTAGTATTTCTCAAACTGAGTATGCTAAGATAATCGGTAGTGTAATATTTCTCATGAATTATACACGACCTGATATTGCTTATGCTGTTAGTAGATTGAGTAGATATACTCACAACCCTGGTAGTGAACACTGGAATGCTCTTCATCGTTTGCTAAGGTATTTGAGAGGTACTATGGGTTGGTGTTTGCATTTTAATAAATTTTCTGCTGTTTTAAAAGGATTTTGTGATGCAAACTGGGTTACTGACAATGATGAAGTTAGCTCCACCAGTAGCTACGTGTTTACTTTGGTGCAAGTGCTATTTCATGGAAGTCTTCAAAACAGACTTGTATAACACGATCTACTATGGAGTCTGAATTCATTGCTCTTGAGTTGGCAGGGCAAGAAGCCGAGTGGTTGAGAAATTTATTGGCAAACGTGCCTTTGTGGGGAAGACAAGCTTCACCAGTTTCTCTACATTGTGACTCACATGCGGCAATTGAAATTGCTAAAAATAGTGTGTATAATGGAAAAAGAAGACATATCCGCATTAGGCATGGTGCGGTAAAATAGTTGTTGAAACATGGTGTTATTTCCTTCGAATATGTAAGATCCGAACGAAATTTGGCGGATTCTTTAACCAATGGTTTGGCAAGGAGAATTATCCTTGAAACATCGAGGGGGATGGGGCTAAAGCCAATGGATTGGGGAAGTATGGTGGATACCTTTGTGGTCAAACAAAGCCATATAAGACCTCAAAATACACTATACTTCCTATCCCTATAGCGTGGTAGTAGTGCTTTATAAGGTTGAACTTATTTTACTCATAATGATTCCATAGCCTTAAGGTAGTCTATGTGTAGATATACTCGATGGGATCACCTACGTGAGTGTAAAGGTGCGGTCACCTTTTATGAAAGACTTGGGATGTCTTTCTAGAACACTCATGAGACCCAAGGTGTGTGCATGACCATAAAAGCACTTTGTTAGTATCGCAGAGTTTGCATAAAATTAATGATATGGTACGTGTTGTGGGGGTCTCAACTAATGTCCATTCAGTTCAAGAGTACTTCACTTTGTAGATGTTAGTTGTTGCCTCATTTCACTACGTGTCAATTCAAATCGAGAAAAATATTGACACTTAAGTACATGTTCCTTCTTTTGCCCAAAATTGTTTTATTTTTGTCTTTGCATTAGTGGGGGATTGTTGGAATTCTTAATAATGCAAAGTCAAAAATTTCTTTTACAATCAATAGCCATGAGTTTTTATTTATTTTTAAAATGTCCTATCTATTTCCAAGTGGCCTCTTGCATGAAGCCTTAAAGCCAAGTGTTGAATGACTTTGACAAATGACTATGCAAATCTACCATATGTCTTCATGCATGGAAGAAAAGATACACTTGTCAATATTGGAGCCAAGTGGACTAATATAATGGGACAAGTGTCAAAAGACTCTCGACACTTGTCATACATGCAACCTCCTTAATTGCCTATAAATAGGTTATGAATTAGCCATCATAATAAAAAAAAAATCTTAACCAAGAATCCATTTTGCTAATCATTACTTTTCTTCCTACAATATTCTTTAATTTCTGTAACAACTACAGAAAATACCGTCATCTTCTCTTCTTTATGGGCAACTGTTTTGTGCAAATTCTAAACTTCCAGCCACGAGTGCACGTGTTTGGAGGTGATGTGGAACCTTGGGGAGCGATCGGCCTTAACGATTTGCACCTAGTTGGGCCGAAATTGCTTTCAAGGCAGTGGCTTGCCACGACACAGTATTTTTGATAAATTGTTCTTTTTTCTTTCTTGTTCTTAGTTAATATTATCTAATCATTTTTCTTACAATTACATTTCCATAAGAAATTTCCCTACGGAGTGAGGGCAAACATTGTCTTGGAAAATTTGTTAAAACTTTCCGCTGAGAGTTTGTGGTGTTATGTTCAATTCAAATAGTTTAGGGGGTAGCGAAGACTCTTAAAGTATTTTTAGGGTTGGTGGATAGAATCCCAATTTAATAAAGGGCCTAAATACGAAAAAGCTCACCATTGAAGGCAAACTTTTCAATTTTAAGAACATCATTGGACTGAACGTGCAAATTACCATCTTCTCCTAATTTAAAACTTCTCACAAAATTTGGCGCCTTTTCCACCATTATCAGAAGCTTCCAGCAGAATCTTCAACTCAGAAACCCTAGCAGGAAAAGAAAGAAAACAAAAAATGGTTCTTCTCCAGAACAACCCAACCGCTTCTCGTAAACGTCCGGCGGTGAAATCCAAAACCGGATTTGTTCCTCCTTTTGCTCCGCCCGCCAAAATCCCCAAATCCGCTGAGGAAAATGTTCCACAAATAGCTTCGGAATTGGAAGCGCAAAAGTTAGGGAAATCACAAAATGTAAGTTCGACTGAGAAAATGATATCAGTTCTAGCGGATGCAGGCTGCACATTGATCAACCCGTCGGGTCCGCCATGTCTACCGTCCGACCTACATAGGCTTCGGAACAGTCTCAACCGTCTCTTCTCAGCCGATTCCTCTCTAAAGTCTGAGTTCCTTCAAGGCTTCTCGTCTTACATTAACTCTCCCGGCAACCTTCGCCGGTAAGCCTGCGGAACTGCTCTTTTTTATTTCTTCATTCGTCTCATTTTACAAGATATGAATTGGCGTAGAATTTTGCTAGAAAGGTTTTACTTCTATACTGCACTATTAAGTAAATGTAAAACATCATAGGGCGTCCATGGAAGCATGACATCATTGTCTGAAGTTAAATTGGGTGGATGAATTCAGAATTTTGAAAAATTTGAGGGTTATATAGCTATGAAAACAAATAGGTTTATTAAGAAATAAGAAAGCAATAATTATATTGGAAGGAGTTATACACACAGCCAGTGTAAGGAACTCACACACCATTAGGTCACTTTTACGTGTTGTAGCAACTAACTTGTCTTACTTTCAAAATTACAAATCCCACATTTTAAGGAGGCGTACCTATAGATATTTTTTAGGTGATCTGACAATGTAAAAACTTATTTACATCGAGGAGTGTATATAAAAACTCAATNGGGGGGGGGGGATTGTGTGGTGGGGACAGTTACTTTTCAATCTACAGATTTTAGGAGAGTTGAAAAGAAATGAAGGTGCCATCGCTATTTAGCTTCTAGACGTTTCGCGCTATCCCGCACAACATTTTGAGCAGTGAATGCGCTTTATGTTTTTTGTTATGTTTCTTGTCGAATATATTATTACTTGCTAAAAGCACAGGCACGTACTCTTGTGTTTAGTTTACTAGTTCATTTTATATGGGATATCAGGAACTTAAAGATGAGTCCACCAGCTTCTGTTGAATGCATCACCTTATGTTCTAAATGACAAGTGTACTCTTTTATCACAAGCGAAAAAACGTGGTACCAGTCTAGCTTGTAACCACCTACAAGATGTCTCAAGGGGATACATGGTTATTGGCAAGGGACTGTGTATAGGAAATAGGGAAATGATAGATGTTGAATGCTATCGTTCCATACTTTGTCAGTTTCCACAGATGTGTTTTAGATTCATTCATTATGAAATCAGTGTAGATGCATCTAACATTTTTATGCTTTCCAATAAATGTAACTGAAAAGTAAAAGAGATTTTTTTGTGCATCTTTTAAACATTAGATGCAAATACAACTTCTGGTACTCTATACTGTTAATTTGTTATCCAAATTAAGAAATAAATGCTCGAGAAAACTTCTCATCAGAATATCTAACTGTAGCAGCTATTTGATCACGACAGCATTTTATCACCTTCAAGACGTGATGGACTTGGATCAGTACGAAGTGACAGTCTGGCAAGAGTACTGCTACTGGTTCCTTCCATCCAGTCACACATTCAAAACTTGCTGCTTGAAAAGCTTCCTGAGTATTTTGATGTGGACCCTGGTGGAAATGTTGGAGGGAGATCATCCTCTTTATGTCTTGAAGAAGATATAGCAAGGCTGATTCTGAACCAATTCCGGTGGCTTGACTTCCTTGTAGACTCAGAAACATTTACTGAAAAACTCTTTCAAGTATTATCTATTTGCCCGGTTCAATTGAAGAAGGAAATAATTGGGTCATTGCCTGAGATTATTGGGGAGAAAAACAACAAAACTATCATAGATTCGCTTCAGGAGATGCTTCAAGAGGATTCTTCCATTATTGTTCCCATGCTCGACTGTTTCTCTAACCTTCATTTGGATGATATGTTGCAAGAACAGGTTACTTTGTTGAACATGTATTAATCAATATTACTAAATGTTGACTGTCACCAGAATAACACTTTCCTTTTCTGAAAATTGTAAAGGTCATTACAGTGGCGTTATCTTGTATCCGAACAATTGATGTGGAGCATATGCCCTACCTATTGAGATTCCTACTGATTTTGGCTACGCCAGCCAATACTCGTAGGATTATTTCACACATCCGACAACAGCTCAAACTTGCTGGAGCATCGAATGTTTGGACCACACAGCAGAGTAAGATGAAGGGAAAGTCAGTCGTCAACAATGCAGAAGCTTCAATACTTGATGCCTTGCGGACAAGTCTTCGATTTAATAAAGTGGGATTTTCAATTTCATTGCCATATACTTGATAATTTCATTGAATCATTAGGTATAAAATATTTACATCTGTTCTGCTCTTTATACATAGGTAATTTGCCAAGAGACATTGAATGAACTGAAAAGCCTTGAGAATGTTCAGAATCATAAGGTGATAGACATATGGTTGCTTATGCTTATATACATGAGCAGCGAGCCTTTACAAAAGAGTGTTGAGAAGTTACTGAAGAAGAAAATTCTTGAGGGCTGTATAGTGGAAACAATGTTTGATCAATGTATTTCTGGGAATAAGGATTTGGCTCAGGTATGGTTTACGCTTTGATATTCATCGCAGAGCTAAAGCTTACATTCCCATTTCCTGTGCGAGCTATATTACTGCAGTTTTGTCATGTTGACTTATTATGCTCTATACTAGGATTATCTTCCTACCCTCCTTTCCATTTCTGAGTACTTACTGGCTTGCAAAGAAGCCAAAGCCCGGGAATTCGGCATTCACATGTACACAAATCTATTCAAAGAGCTCGTGGATAGTTATTCAAGACAGGAAGTAAGATTGTCTTCTCAAGCATTTATTAGATTGTTTCTCCTGATTTTGGAAGTAAATGCAAAATGTTATCCTGCATGCCGTAGTTCCAATTAGCTGTTTTTTAAATGAAGGTCCTTGGAGCATTAATTACTCATGTGGGCTCTGGGATAAGTCATGAAGTGAGTTCTGCTTTGGATGTGCTGGTCCTCCTAGCCTCAAAGTACTCACAGGAGTTGATTCCACTATCTTCTCATATAACTGGTGTGCTTGTTGGTGCAGTGTTGATGCTGACTAGACTAGGAAATTTCGCATAAGGTTTAGTTATATGCTTATTTTTTGGTGCTTCTTTTCAGGCATCCTAGATTACTTGGAGACATTTAGTGTTCAAAACCTGCATAAGGTTGGTGACGCGATCAACCATGCTTCTCTTGGCATCATGATTTAAGCCATTTCCTCGCTTGTCTTTGAGCAACACCTTTTACGTTACAGGTGTATGAAGCTTTCAGTCTTTTGGCATTTTCTGCTCAAGTGAGTACAGTGTCCTTTGGATCTCCTATTTCGAATGAACTACTAGTGATTGTGAGAAAGCAGGTAAATGTACAATATGACACTCTCTAGGATTTATGACAGCGTCATTCTTTTGAGTCACACTGACAGCTTGTGCTCTTCAAATCGTCTGGCAGCTGAGTAATCCTGATCTCATTTATAAGAAGATGGGCTTAATTGGCACTCTCAAGATAGTTTCCTACCTTGGGGATGCAAAAGCTACAAAGCAACTTTCATCATCTCAGGTAGCCTGCTGATACTTGAGATAACTTTATCTTACTCCAAGTGGTCATATTAAAAGACATATGTTGCAGTATTTTGAACCTTGTATTGTCTGACCTTGTTCCATTCTTTTGATGCTGAAGTTTGTCTTTCTGATTTCTCTAGTGGCCGTGTATGTCAGTTTATGCACTAGCTAATCACTCATTTAATAGTTATGTTGTGTAGTCATCTCAATGGAAAGGCCTACTGATAGAAATCAGAAGACAAACTTCCGCAATAAATTCGAAGCAGGACCAGACTCCTAATCTGTAATGAGGCTCAAAATCATTTTGAAGCATTCCAATGTATACCATTCACTGCATAACCTTATTATACTACTTAAACAACTTTAAGAATTCAAATTTATTTAACTATTCCAAAATTTGAATTTCGATGTGATGTTTTCTCTATCAAATTAACTTTTCAGCTATTACTTAATATTTTCTTCCAATACAACTAATATAGTGGACAAGTCAATTAACATTTTAAACTTCTTATCCAGGCAAATAGCATATAAAATGGAACTAAGGAGTACAATTGTTAGTGCCAATAGTAGTTATACGGACTATGAGAATTCAGCAATGGAGTTCTAGTAGTAGTAAGATACTTATGGAAAAAGGCGGTACATTTGAAAAGGTTCTGGCTACATGTGGTTTCTACTTAGATACGCTATATTGCCAGATTATTGTGCTTTGCTGAATACCTTAAATCTGTCTGCTAGTGCTCTAGGTTTTCAACGTGTTACAATAATGCCTATAGCGGAAGTCATTTTATTGCGAGTTCTCTTCTATGTCTGTCATAGTTGATAATTTCCCTTTATTATTACTGGTAAACAATTTTGTCACCTAAAAGCTCCTAACTCTATTTTCAAAGTGAGGTGTTATTTTAGAACATCATAGGTATAGGTATATATCATCATTATTAAAGTGCTTGATAATATTCACTTTTAACCTTCACAATTTTGATGATTAATGAGAGTGACTGTGCTGATCGTATTTCAATACAAAAATTACTGAACCATAATGCCATATTTGATAATGTCCTCAAGTTACTAGATTTTAAGCTGCGTGTTTCTTCACATCGGTTTCAGGGATTTGTCTTGTTTTATTTCCAGGGTGTCTTACGTTGAATTAATTTGTCATGTTGAATTTCCATGTTTTCTTTGTCACGATATTCAGATATTTGAGCTTTCATTTAAACATTGTCATGCCGTAGTTCCTTTATTATGATACTTCTCAATTTATGAGGTTTGGTTTAGAAGTCAAATTACGAGGAAGCTTTGGAGCTTTTGGAAACATCTATGAATTCTTGCAAGCAGCTGCCACTTCCATTGATTATGTTCTATGATGATCTGGCTTTAACATTGAAGAAAAAGGCACTTCATCCAGCCATAGTAGAATGGTAAGCACATGATTATCACTATTAATCAATATTATAGTACATAACACGTGCATTGCTCACAGGACAAGCAAACATGTTGGGGACTTCGAAGCAAAGTTTTTGTGTGACCTTGACGGTGGGGAGCTTATGGTCAAAGAGCTATATTGTGGTTTGGAAGGTATGCTTCGCACGTGCATTCCAGAAACTTCGCTAGCAATTTCCATTAAATAATCATCAATTGAATTTTTTATTTCTGTTTATATGTGCAGGAGATTTATGGATGAACCTCGATGGAGACATATCTCCTATATGTCTGAATGTCTTGCCACTTGTATCCTCTTCATTGCGGTAACTTTGTAATCAATCTCCTTTATTTTACTGCTTGAAAAGTTTATACATCCTTATGTGCTGAATTTTGAGTAACGAAACAAACAGAAATTAAAGTAGTTACACGCCTATTTTTGCTTACACCACTTTTACTAACTGGTTTTAAACTATGAAGCCAGAGAATCACCAACTTATCCAGGGGATCTTGTTCTTTTGATAACCAGGTTACCAGAGTTTTGGAATTAAAATGGTCAATCTGAAAGAAATTCTTCGATGCAAAATTATTTGCTGTCTTAGTCTCAGCTTCACTCAGATATATTCCTGTCTCCCTTCTCCCCCTCCTCCATCTCCTATATCTTACATGTTTCTCTCCTATTTTCCTGCCTCCTGTCCTTTTCCTATCCTGATCAACCTCACCGTTAACAATAGAATCTGAACAAATTACTAACTGAAACATATTTGTTCATACTGAAATGGAATAAATCTTCAAAGGCATATTAGGATGAGGTTGAGTAATTTTGTTAATGCAAAGATTGGGTGGCTGGTTCTGATGAAGGTGAGTAATTTTGTTAATGCAAAGATTGGGTGGCTGGTTCTGATGAAGGACCATTTTAGGAATTTCTCATCACATTCTGTTGTTGCACTTGGGAATACCATTATTGCCATCCTTCATTTTTTCTGAAATATGATAAAAAGGTGCTAGGAGATATTTTTTTGCACTTCAAGGACATATTCTGAGGTTAGAGGGAACTCTGACATTTGCAGAAATTGCCGAGTGACTTTAATTTACCCATATACATCTGTCAGTTAGTCCTACTGCTCTCTTTTAACTCACTGAATGAAATTATTCCAATAGAATGCAACTAGGAGATGTTTCATCACAGCTTGAAAATGTTGTGCGGGACTTGAGGAAAACTTTGACATTTACACCAACATTGCAGTGTCTTTGATTAAATTTCTCCTGACACTCCTTTCTTGCTCTTAACTGAATTTATGTCAAATTTCTATCCAAGTCAAAGTCACCTGTGAACAACCTTGGACTTATAATTATCCTGAGATAGATATATGTTCTAGTAATATTTCTGCCTGTTAGTGTTGTTGTTCTGCATAGATGATCACATATCATACAACGCATGCAGGGCCGCTTCATCACTGCAAATTCTTCCTGCAAACTTCGTTTTGCTGTCTTCAGTAAGTACACAATTCTTCAGAAACTGCATCCTCTAAATTCTTGAATGTTCTATGTTTGATCTCATTGCTTTGTCAGATTGAGAGGTTGGCAAATCAAGGATCTCTTGCAGGAATTGATGCACTTCTTGGCTGCCCTATACACCTTCCTTCCTCTAAGGTGGGATTCGGGTCAATTGATTTTTTGGTTATTTACAAACTTGTTTTTAGTTTTATGACCCTACCTATTTTTTTTTTACACATGAGAGATTTACTTTTACATGTAAGAGATCTGTCTTCTATACATAAGAGATCTAAAAAGGTCATTTTCTTAAATTTAAAATTGTAAAGGAGCATGATGTACAAATAGCACATGGGATTCAGTGCCTTCCCAGTTACTCTTATAAACCATTTCAATCACATCCACTGCGAAAATTAGTTGCGATCAACTCTATGATCCTTTATATCCATTCCTTTAAACTCAAGAAAGTTCCTATGATCAAAATGAAATTTGCCTTTAGTTTATGATCATCCTCCCACTTACGTAATCTCTTTAATTGTAAATAATAAAAGGGCCAATGTCTAAGCAATATCTAGAAACCAAAATAGTCATCTGCTAAGTGAGATAATTATAAGTTAATAAAAAATTAGCATCTATTAATAGCTAGCAGGAGATAGTTCACATCATCATCTAACTTTGGAGATGAAAAGACGTGCCTGCATTAGTGCTCTAAACTGCACTTTTTGGAAATTTTATTTTGGTCCGATTTTGGATTAAAAATTATGTAATTAAACTTAAAGGTGGGGAAACTGGAAATGATGTTTAAATCACCTCTATGTCCCAAATTGAGGTGGGCATATTATTGCTCATTTTCAACCACCTATTTTATATTGACTGTCATGTTGGACTTTTACATGCTTTAATGTTTTAGGCAATGACTTTGTAGAATAGCGAATAAGGTAATTTGCAGTATGCATGATTTAATGTAGGTGAATTATGAATAAGCTGAAAACAGTATTTTGAGGATATGACTTTGTTGGCTGATATCCCTGGTGTATAAAAAGGGTATAGACAGGCGGGCCAAAGTGGAGTGATGGACCAAATTTTGACTTCTTGAGATGTTGTAAAGTGAAAAGTGGATACTGAATAAACTTTATTACATGTAGTAAGAGGTGACTAAGTACCATTTTGAGGAAGTGGATGGTAGTTAGGCATGACCAACGGAAACTGTGATACTCCCGTGATCCTATTATGTGTGATAATAATTCTCATTTTGAGGCTCGCTTAACGTTCAACAATCTTTTCTCAACAAACTTCTCTACATAATAATCTCGTAAGTTTCATGAAGTCAGATACATTGAAAAAATTCGATACACTTTAGTGTGTGATATCAAAACAGTCAAAGGTCTTGGTTCGAGCACCATCATCTTTTGTATAAAATTCTTTTTTGTGTTTGGTCCAAGACTCTAAGGAAAATAAATTAGCTTGCATATACTGACATTGTACGGATTAAATGTATAAATTTGTTTTCTCTAATAATTTAAACTTTTAGAGAGGTAGTTCACTCAACTCATATGTTCCCTGCCTAACTAACTTAATTACCAACAACATCATGATATTTTAGTCAAACTAACTCTTAAATGTTTTCGTCTTTAACAAATCAAGTTAAATTGACTCAATTGTCAAGGCAAGGTTGGAAAATCAGTCTAACCTTATTTTGTTCATCCATGGACGGTGGACCAGGTTCAATATGCTTTAATCAAGCTGTAGATTGGGTTTTCCTTATGAAGCACACCTAATCTCTTAACAAAATGGAATAGTAAATTATACAAATTATATGCTTAAGCTTGCTTTGCATCTTCCATTAAAACCATGCCTTTCTATGCTGAAACTAGGTTGAAAAGGGTGTAGGTAAAATGTGTTGGGTGGGCTCTTCAACCCACGGAGAGGCCTGTGTATGAACTTTGAGCCTAGTGCCAACTAGCACTGGCTTGCTTTGCAACATAAGCTTGCGCCAAGTAATTTGATTCAAGCTCTTATGTTGGTCATTTGGAGAGAATGAAATAGGAGAGCTTTTGAAGATGTTGAGATGAACTTTGTACAATTGAGGAATAGCCTTTTATGCCTTATTTCTTTTTGGTGTACCCGTGAGATTCCTTTATGTATAGAAGATTAGATGTCATTAGTAGAGAACCATATCTTTTTGTAGGGTCTCTATGCCTTTGGTATACTTCTTTTATACGGGCGTTTTTATGCCCATATTGTTAATAAAATGATAACGTTGTTAAAAAAACCATGGGTATATGACTTCCTCCATTTCAAGCTGAATGTCCAATTTTCTTTTTTCATCCTGTGTCCAGCCCAAATAATGATCACCTTTTTGAAAGATAAGTTTTCAAACATACTGCACTTCACAAAAAATTATATTGATCTCACATTTTCTCTTTCAAATGAAACTTTCTCTATTCTATTATCGAAAACAGAAAAAAGGTCAATATGTGGCCATATCCTTCATTAACAAATGCTGTACTATTCGTGTTTTCAACTATACGCTTGATAAATTGCAAAATCAAACTAAGAATTTCACTTTGCAATAGAGGGAATAATAGTTCAAAATTGATCTGCTCTGGCTTCAAATGCCCTGTGCTTCCAATGTTAATTCATATTTGATTTGTACACCATTTATTTTGTATGACCTGTATATTGAATATTTACTTCTATAGATGCATTTACATATTAAAGTATAAAAAATGTTACTTGGCAGTATATTGGTGTATGACTAAAATTTTGTAGGCTTATACCTGCTGCATGCTTCTCCGTGTGCTAATAATGTCCATTTTATTTGTCAGTTCTTCTCTGAACCACTTTGGGGCTCTTTAAGTGGAAAGCAAAAGCAAATCATTATCTTATCATTGTACTATGCTGCCAATTGGCTGCGGGAACTGGTAGGTATTGTTGATAATCTCGCCAATGTGGTGTGGGTGATTTATTTCTGGAAATATATTATGTTTAAGCATGCTATCTGACTTCTCTGGTATATTATGTAGCTCAATGCCTTTTGCACTCAAGCTGTCAATGAATGTGATGCATTCAGTCAAGCAACAAGAGAGGAGATAACTCTTAAACTTTTTAAGCGGTTGAGGAACCTCGTGTATGTGCTCATGTCCTTTTCCTGTATGCCATGCATGATATAACTTTTGAGCCCTGCATGTTTTGAGGACCCTTTTTGACCTCCTAACTAGTTATCAACTCTGTTCATCTTCATGCATCTTTGTCACAAACAACTCATAAAGGAGGATTATCTGTTTCCCAGATCCCATTAACATTTAATGGTGAAAGGAAATGGTTTGTCCCTGTATTGTATAATGGGCACCCACTAGTTTCTTTGAATTTTCTGTGAGCTATCAAAGTAAGATAACAACCCACTCCTGTACACGGTAATCTTTGCTTAACTTATGTGTGTCTTCACTAGTTGCAGAGTGATTTAAAACAGTTCTATAAAAATCTTCCTTCTTCCAGGTTACGGGATTTACAAATTCTTAAAAATACATCTTACAATTGAATGGCCTTCATTCTGTATTCATTTTATGCTTTGATTCGACAAATGTCAGGCCTGGCTGGATGTGTTATCTTTCTCTTGTAAACTTCCTTAATGTGCTTTCTTTGAGAACGAACCCTGAAGTTCCTTCTCTCGAGCAACTTTACGCTGCAATATGCATATGCATCAGCAACTGCATGATATCTAACCCATGAGTCAGTTCTTTATCAATAAAGAATCATGCTGTGACAACAGAACTTCATAAAGCTAACAAAGGTTTACTAATGCAGATTCCTGGAGAGCTTACTAAACAGTTCCCTCAGACAGTGCTCCTTTTCTTTACCTGAACTCCAACCTCATCTGGAGTCCTTGTCACTGAACAAGCTTGATCATAATAGAGATCAGGAGATTAAGAATGAGCATGGTAATGGGAATGGTGGTTTATTACAAAAGAAGAAGAAAGAGAAAAAGACCAGTCAAGCATCACTTACTGATGGAAAACTTAGGCAGCCAACCATCATGGATGTTCTAAGGAAAGCAGGTGCAGTTCCGAGCCAAGAACCAAGTGTGAGTCCTTCTGGAACGTGCTCTAAAGGTAGCACACCTGAGCCATCAGGGAATCAACCACGTAATTCTAATATACCAGCAAATGTCGATGTTTCTACCGCTCTGGAGCATGTGGAAGCACAAAGATACAAATTCAGGCCTCTTTTGCTGGATTGCTTTGCCATCTTAGCTTTTCAGAAGGTAGTACTAGTGTCTCTAATGAGTTCCTTCCTTTCACTGTCTAAATGGGTTTTGATTTGAGCTAGCCAGTGCCTGAAGTATATGGGTCTTTTCACTGGTGTCACTCTTTTAAATCCTTTTTCAGCCAGTGCATAACCTTCGTTTGATTTTCCTTTTATTTCCTGGCCATTCTATCTGGATATTATGGGCTGGGTATTTCTTACATCTCAGGGCTTCATTTGAAGTCTTCTGCATGCCCCATCTGGAGAAAACATGTTTCCACCGCCGAGGTGTTACTTTTCTGGTGGTACCATCTTGATACTTGGCCTTTATTTGACTATTGAACTGTATCTAGATTCTTGAATCAGGGTTCTTCATCAAATGTCTAAATAATGAAGAAGATAAACGAGAATGACTTACCATGAATACAACTCTTAGGCATTTTCTTGAGCACCAAATGCTTTTAGTAGCGTGATAGAGTATTGACATAGCGACGCTAGCTGCACATAGAACTTTAAGGACGCCTTCCCAGAACAAAAGAATTGGTTACGCGATGAAAGATTTAGGAGTTATCTTATTTGAATTATTTTATCTGATTCGAGCAATGTTTATCACATGATATTTCGTGTCTTTAATCAAAACAATTTCTGTAATTGCTTAGTATTTGGCTGTCATGTGAGAATATTGCCTTTTGAACTAATATCCACAGTATTACTCTGTTGAAAGTAGTTAATGATTATTGAATGAACACATCTAAATAATCAGAACTAGCTTTCCGACCAAATCCATATATGCTTTTGTTCTGATTATTAGTTGATTGATTGGTCTGCTAACTCTGCCCTTACTCCTGTGATCAGTTGATAGATTTCATTGCCAACTTGCATCTTTCTTTCCTTCCATTCTTACCTTCCCTTTTTCTAATTTGCAACGGTAAAGTAACATATCTTTCTTCGGTCATTAGTCCTTTGAGGCACAACTCTGGTGCTATTTTGACAATTTATGCAATAACTTTTTTCCTTCAACTAAGAGTAATAAAAAAAGAGAGGAGATTTGTGAACTGATAGACAATTCTTTTATTAAGTTGACACTTGATATCTCTTTGCAATGTGTAAATTCACATAATAGCTGCCAGAAATCATTGCAGGCCTGCACAGCATTTCTAACTTGTTTAAGTATGGGTTTTCAATGCAGACTCAGGATTCCTGCTGTGCAGATTCAGCTTCTGAGGTATTCAATGAGCTCCTTTAGTCATGCCCTCTTCATTAGGGTATATGAACCTCTCATGGACGTGTTCAGTTCCTTTTTCCTTTTTAATTGTTTAAATTTGTAATATTGTGAAATTTGTGCATAAATTCAAGTGTACTTATATTTAGACTTTCATCTTTGAGAATATCTAACTCCCTGGTGGTTCCAGTTGCCCCTTTGTCTATATATTCTGCGGGATCTAAACAGAAAGCTGGACTACTTCAGTCCACGAAGGCATATATTGGTTAGGCGCATGAGTGTTCCTCCTGCATTTGGTGAGATGAAAGTCATAGAGTTCATAAGCAAAATTCAGCCACTATTTCCTTCTCTTAGAAGGCACTTGAATTCTGCAGTATCTGGTGTTAGAGCAGGTATTACAGCAGGCTTTGTTCAATGCCTTGCCAAAAGAAAAATGCCAAATTTAGATATCTTACATAGAGTNGGGGGTTAATTCTCTTTTTCCTTGCTAGATTTCTGATCAAATTTGTATCTCTTGTTTCCTTTTCTTTCACTTCAATTGCAGATGCTAAACATTCCGGATGTTCAGAGAGACAGGTCAGTACTTTCTGATCTTCTGGAGGCATTCCAGCCAATCAGCATGACAGACTGCTTTTTCGAAGGCATGCAATTGATTCCATCACCAGGAGACATAGGTTATCTATATGCTGGTGCATATTCATTCGTTGGGACTATCTTTGATTCAGGTATGCTACTTCTGAATTTGTTCTTTTGGTTCACATATTTCTTTCATTTATCAAGGAAGAATATGTTGGTCTCTACCACTTGACTTTTTTCCTTGCAGCACGTGCTGTCTCATTTGCTTTGGCATCCGACATATTGTTAAGCTTAGAATCAGTACTTTCCTCTATCCGAACTATACTAGATAACGATCTCGATGATATTGGAAAAGATATTCGCACAGGTTTTTCGAAAGAGCTACTTTCTTTTCTGTCAAAGAAGCTGGGAACTTTTGCTTACAAACTCTTGATGGAAAAGTGTGATGGCGTTAATGACATTGAAGATGGTCAGAAAGTCAAAGTATGTTAATATAGTTGCTCCAGCAAACATCACCATCGTGTTTCTTGAATGACAGCTGACTGTACAATAAATTTTCTTTGGGTTGCTAGTTTGATTAATTTTTAATTGCAGGCAGAGGTCATTCAAAAGCTTTTACGAATTTACTTGGAAAATAGCGAGTCCACTTCCGATTCCCTAAGTGAATTTGCCTGCTCCGTTTTTCCCCAGGTGCATATATTAGGTTGTTTACATAGTGCTGCTTAGTCAGATCATTTGTTGTGTTTGAACCGAATGTGAAAGTATTGCTAGATATTTCACATATTGCATCAAACCTTCTGCTGTAAGCTTATCTGTTAAACTTTCCCTGAATTTGTAAAATATTGCTTCAAAACCTTCTGCTGCGAGATAATTGTTATGCAATAGGGCTTGAAGTTCAAAGGGTGTACATGGAGACCTTAAGGATTCTTTATAACCTCCTTTAGCCTTTAAAAGTAAGCTTAAACTACATGATTATACAATGTACTTGTTTAATACACTTGGGTGACGTTTGTAGTAATGGAGAAAATAATCTCCACATAAAATTCAACATTGTTTTATACAATGTTTGGTTTGATTTTCTTTTCCACATAAAACTTGGCATAATGCATTAGAATGTTTGGTTTCACCCCGTTAGCTCTAATGTGGATAGTTTGGGGGGAGAGAAATAGGAGAGCTTTTGAGGGGATTGAGTCTCCTTTTTCACATCTTAAGAATAGTCTTTATCTTTGATCGCTTTTTGGTGCACTCATATAGCCCCTATTTGTATAGAAGATTGGGCGTCTTTTGTAAAAAATTATGTTACTGATGTAAATTCTCTACTTTTTGGTATACTTCTTGTATACGGGAGTTCTCTCCTTTTGATTAATACAATTTACCTTATAAAAAAAATATTTGGTTTCAAAATTTCTTTTCCGCATAACTGAAGCTCACATAAGTTATGCGGAAATATATGTATTATTTTATGCTTGATTGAGTGTGGAATAAGAATGCGGAGTTAGTAGCACATGGATTAAATCACGAAATGACAAAAATAACCCTTCGTGTAGTTACCAAAATAACTTATCCCTGCATAACTTGTTTCTAAGCCAAACGATCCCTCATGTATTAGTTACTTTTACTTCAGTTATAGTAGCATAACATCAACAATAACAAACCTAGTGGAATCCCACAAGTGGGGTTTGAGGAGGGTAGTGTGTACACTGACCTTACCCCTACCTTGAGAAGGTAGAGAGGTTATTTCCTGTAGACCCTCGGCTCAAAGAAAGATGAATAAAAGAAGCAATAGTAACAAGCAGTAACACCCGCAATCCAATGAGTTCAGTTACAGTAGCACGCTATGTTGATTTTCTGCCTGAATCTCATACTATTTGAAGCTCACTAGTAACGAGGATGCAATAAAATCTACGCTACTCTATTTGAAATGTCAGTAAATATATCTCAGTTAATTGACTGCTGTTATTTATGAGTTAATTGGCTTGTTGAGTCTTCAGAGTTTATCTATGTTAGGCAGACTTGTGTGGTAACTGGTATGGTTGTCTACTGGACAAGTGGACATTGTTTTGTCCAAGGATCTTTACCCTATAAAATCAATCAAGAGAGTGTATGCATGCCCTACTTTTTGGCAGATCAGGGGTCTCGGTAAAGTTTTAATACCAAGAGATATACATGGCCAAAGTCATTTACATTGTTGATTGCTTCAAACGTATTGGAAAAATCATGAAAGCAGCAATACCCACTTTGCATATTAAGTGGCTAGATTTGAATGTGTATGGACGTTAATAATTTAAGAACTGAAATTCAATGTCTTGAATTTTTTTTATTATATATATATATCTAATAACCTCAGTTTTAACTTTATAGTTGTTTACTCTGGAGAATGGTAATTGTGAAAATGTTGGCATTTAATATGCTTAGTGGTCTGTGAGTGTGATACACTGATACTAGGCAAACCCACAATTTAATCGTATTTTGTTTATATGTCAGGTTTCATCACGCAAATCAGCAGCGGAAGATGGCTGTAGTTTTCCTACTCTATGTCCTGCAACATTTTGCATTTGGTACCGGGTGATGGTAAGATTTCCACAATGCACTCAATTCTTTGTGCGTTATTCATGTGGAAATTATATGCGTATAAAAACAAGATGTTTACTGAAGATGATTTAATGGTGCAGCATGAAGAGAATCTTGCTATGATTAACCGCTTGGTGGGTACCTAAATCTTATATACTATTTAGAAGCTACACGTCAACAGATGGAACTTCCATGATAAAAATATAACTGTTGTGTTCTTCTTTACCTGCTTAGGTTAAGGAAATTTCACTGCTGGAGAAAGCCAGAGGTGGAGTTGAAGTGGAAGATGTCAAATGCCTTCTGAAGAAACTACAACAATCTGTTAATGTAGTTGTGTCTTTAGTCAACATGTGCAAGACTCACGATAAGGTGGTTGTCTTGCTTTAAATTTCTTATTTTAATTGCCACTCAGCTTTCTGATACCAACAAAATTGGTGTTGACTAATAGGTCAACGTCCGTGCAATTGCTGTCAAGTTCGGTGGGAAGTTTGTTGACTCTTTCCTCAAAGGTACTTACCTCTATCATGGATCAGGGTACAAGGACCTCTTTTTATCAGTTAAGGGAGGGTGATTTCTTCTGCCTCATCTTTGTGATTGTAACAAAATATGACGTATTGGAATTAACAAATGTCTTCAGCTTTTGGTTTCTTACAGGGGCAATTTGAATTGCAACGTGAGCAAATAATTCAGATGGTAAGATGAGTGAATTACTGGCTTGAACCATCATTGACTTTAGATTAAGGAGTCTCTCTATATTTATTAGGTTAGAGAGCTTCAGATGGCAACGAGAACTATACAGACGCTGTGTTCAGAAGCAAAGGTTTGACAGAAATCCCGTATGCTTCAGTCTATGCTCATTCGTTGTGGCCTAGACATCTTTCTGTACTTTCATTTGTGTTTTCTTTTCTTTCTGGCAGGGCATGAAACAAACAGCAATAACCAGCAAAATCCCAATCACCAAGAGATCTATGGAGCGGTTCTTGTTTCGTGTCAAGGAACTTCTTCACTCAACGTCAACTGGATGCACTTTTTGGATGGGTAATTTTACCTTGTATTTACTGGCATGTTACTGTAATCAGATAGTTGATCAAATTATTTTATAATTGTTTACCGTGAAAATGGTAATAACAATTAAATTTGATTTTGTTCGTTCTAAAAATACGTGATTTATTTTTATGATAGTTGTTAGGGCAATAGATGCTAAGTGAGGTGCTTGGAATCAAGATAGGAGCTTAAAACAAGATGTTAACCAAACTCAATGGCTGTCGATCGGGGCCTCGTGCTTGCTTATTCGGGGCCTCGGGATCGAGTCTAATGGCCCGCCGAGGGTAGTCGATGGAGACTAACAGTTATAATAAAATTAATGACGGCTCTTTATGGCCAATAGTAAGCAATAAATGAAGAACAATAAATATGACACAACGGATATGAACAATAAATGCAAGTAAAGAGGTCGGGAGAATGTGTTAGAGAGCAGAGAGAATTATTGAGCAACAGGTGTCTACAAAATGACAAGGATCCCCTTTATATATGAGGAGGAATCCTAACACAGTACAAAAAACATTAATTACAAAGATAAGGAGATGGTACAGCTAGTCAATGCCTTGATTCGTTTTTTGGACTAGTCCATTAGACTTTGTCAGCCCCATTTATGCGCCTTGGGAACTCCCCACTTTTTCTCCGTAACCGTTGGTCTGTACTGTTTCGAGGTCGAGCGTCGATGGCCCTCGAGGGATGAAACTCGACTATGGTCTCGAGCCTTCGAGACATGCTTACGAAGCGTCGTAACGACGGAAATTGGACCTCCGATTTTACCGTATACAATAATATTATTCTGTGTGCTAATAAAGTTTTTAATGATTTAAAGGCCAAAATCTTTCCATGTTCAATACATGCACGTATTTGTTTGATCTGATATCAATTTCTAATCTGGGAGAACTAAAAGACTTGCTCATTCAGTGAATTTCACGGTCGCCGTCGCGACATCTGTTACATTCATTGGAACCTATGCCAAAATAACTGTGATGCAAGGAGAAATTTCTTTTTTAAGCCGAGGGTGTGATGGTCCTTTTTCAGATTTAGAACAGTATAATGATCAAGTTTCATGCTTCTGGTGTCCCCACATATATGTGGAAGTTTGTTAACAAATCTGCTGCATCGATAGCTAGCTTTGTCTTCTCGTAGAAGTTTTTGATGCTTCAGACTTAAATTTGTGTAGTACAATGGTATCTGAATTTCGTTTCTTCATTCTGGCAGGCAATCTAAAGCATAAAAATTTGATGGGGGATGTAGTAAGCTCCCAGGCATATATAGATGATCAAAATGACAATATGGACAATGTTTCTATGGAAGATATGGTTATTGATGAACCCACAGATGTTGCTGGTGAATGAGGACCTCATTAATTCAAGCAACTAGAGCTGACCTAAAAAAATATCCGACACAGCCAGAGCTGACTCAAGACAATTATGTGAGCGCTATTGATTTCTAACTCTTATGTGTTTGTGCGTGATCGGTGGGTGACTAGATCCTTGGGGACTTGCCCATCCTTTTTTGTTACGACTCTTCATTTGCTGTAGATTCCATCCCTCATACCTCATGCTTGGTTCCCAATATGAGAAATGCTGAAATAGGGATGAATTCCGTAATTTACTGCCCCATATGACGTTTGAAAGAAAGAAGTGTATATACTAGTGAGGAACTATTATATTATTACAGTTTGAGAAGTCAAACAGTTTTTTCTCTGAATGTAACATCTCAAACATGTCCTAAAATGTGTCAACTATAAGAAAATGTATTTAATTGTACTTTTAGTATAGTTTGTAAATATGTAGGATTAAATTTTATTCAAATTAAGAATTTGATATCCGAATTTAGTCAAGAAATTGGATGCCTTGACTCTTGTAAATGTAAATTGCCTATGCCCTCTGAAACATTAATCTGTTTGTGCCTCTACACTAAAAAATGGAGTAATCTGACGATTCTTTCATGTATATGCTGGTTTGCACAGCTTACAGATCAGCCTTGGGAAGAATTGTTATGGTTTAGCCCTTATTGCAATCAGGGATTGTTGGCGATATTTTTTACATGGAAATTATAAAATGGGCTTCCCCTAGATTTCACACCAGCAGCTTGCATCTATTGTTTGAAAGCTTCTGCACAGTATCCTTTTGATACATGCTCCATGCTCCTATGTAGATAAGTTGTAATTAGCCATCATTATCAAAGTTTTCTCGACACCTCTGGCTCTTGCAATTTTCTGAATGCCTTTGGCATGGATAGTGTGAATACACCTTTTTTCCCCTAGAAATTTGGCGAGACGAATTAGCACGTGTTGGATTCTTGTTGACTTAATATTGCGCTTGAGAATTCTGCATCCACGTAACCTCCTTGAACCCATATATTAGATCTAAGATGGTCAGAGCTGTTCATACCAACGTACCAAACGAAGAATGCCAGAAGCTCAAGTGTATTAAACTGTAAATGTAGTAGTAATATCATTGTGGTTGGGTGGTAAGTGCTCCTCCCTCTTCAAGCTATGCCTGTGATAGAGAATGCTATACCCTAAAAGGGGGTATCCAATGTCGAATGGGGGACCAAAAAAAGTAAAAGATGAAAAAACCATAATCTCTTTCTCTACGGCACCAAGGTGCTCAAGAAAGGGGGTCTTTGTTGGTTATTGAGGGAGTCCGAAACCTAAATAATGGTATTTTGGACTCAAAATACCTTTATACAGTTAAAAAAAGTTACATTTCTAGCTAAAACACAGTATTATACTGCGTTTTAGTTTAACGGAAAGTTAGTCGTTAAAGGAAAACGTAGTATAATACTGCGTTTTAATTAATAAATCATTTTTTTAATGTAAAACACATTATAATACATTTTAAAGGTAAAATTTTAATTGCTTTTAAAGTCCTACATTTTAGGTACCTAGTTTTACTAAAACGTTGTATTATAATGCATTTTACATTAAAAAAATAATTTATTAATTAAAACGCAATATTATACTACGTTTTCCTTTAACGGCTAACTTTTCGTTAAACTAAAACGTAGTATAATACTGCATTTTAGTTAGAAATGTAACTTTTTTTTTAACTGTATAAAGGTATTTTGAGTCCAAAATACCATTATTTAGGTTCCGGATTAGTTATTTAGGTTTCCTCTTCCATTTCCCTTTTTACTGACTAAAGTATAGCATCACCTTAGTTTTCAGTTTTGCGGCCTAATAGTTTATTGGTCATAATTTCTGGTCTGTTGGGGGTAAACTGCCATTTTCACTTATAAAATTAATGGAAACTTGTCACATAGTATAGTTGTATTTTTAAGAAGATAAAAAAGGAGGTTTATTAACTTATTTGTTTCATTCGAAAAAAAAAACTATTTGTTGCATTGACCAATAATGTGATACTTCTCTTTTTGACTTAACCAAACCGTGTTCAATTGGTTTATATGAGATTATGCGAATTTAAAACAAGCAAACTTCAGATTTCTCCTATTTATAATGGTTAGTTGCATTATTTATTTATGGATTCTTGTCGGTTGTGATTTAATTGTAACTAATTCATTCACATCTCAATTTTAATGAGTTCTCACTGTTTAGCTGCCAAAAAAGGTCAAGAAGAAGAAACATTTCTCCATTTATAAAGGACTTGCATTGTTTTGGGAATAGATTTGTTTGCTTTACTAGTAATTGAAAGAGAAATAGAAGTAGCAACAAAGAACCATCAAGTTTTTAATTAATTGTAATGTCTATGTCAAACAACCAAGCAAAGGAGCCAATTGTTTATTTTCGGAAGAAAATTCGAAAGACCAAAAGAATAGAACAAGTAGTTGGTACTGTTGTTGCTTCCCCTGCTCATCAGGTATCTTTTCTTTGTCTTCCTTGTATATTTTTTTATGCGGTTTACATTTTAGATCTCACAAAATGAATCTCCAATAAAAATAAAAAATAAAAGGAAGAAATTCTTTTCTCCTCCCACTTTAGGCCCTAGACTATTGGGTCTAAGTATGTCATAGCGATTGGGCCAAGCAGTGGAATTTAGAAGCAATCACTTTTAGCATGCCGTCGAAACTATTCACGTTAGATATATTGGACGAGAACGAAAAGTTAACATAGTTTTTTAATTTAGTTACATTCACGGGAGATAAAAAATTCACTATTTTGACGAGAATATAAAAGAGATCGTATACAAATATTGAGAAAATAATCTTATAAAATTCATTTTTAAAGATTTTCCTCTTACTATAAATTTTATTTTTGCCGGTATTCACATGCAAAACGGGACTCTATATTTATTCTCGTCTGATTAATAAGTTCTTCAAAAGATCTATTAGACTATGGAGTGAATGATATCAATGAATATTCTATTCACACCAATTCTTCTATTTTTTATTTAAAAAATACGAATTCAGCTCATCAAACCATTTGATATAGTATTCAATACGTATGTATATACATTTATATTTTACTTCATTCTTTTTCTTTCTGAAATTTCGATGTAAAAATTCCTATACTAACGCATTTAACTCCATTTGTTAGAATAGCTTCCATTTAGTCTCTGCACCTATCCCTTTTTTTTTTTTTCTGAACCTTTATTTGTTATCGGAAAACGAGATTTGGCTTAGGATTGCCCAGGGTTTCTCTGAATTTGAAAGTGATCCTTAGTAAGTTTTCATACTAAGGCTCAATCCAATTAAGTGTGTAGCATCTACCGATTTCGTCATATCCCCCTTTCTTTTCGAGATTAAGATCTTGTTATGATGTTATTCCTTTTTCTTTCATTTATACTGGAACTATTGAATTCATTCTATCTCGAAAATATGTTTTATCCTCTTTGATTTTCTTAACTATTTTCTATAAGAGACCTTTTTTTGTCCAATCAAAAATGATTTTATCATTTCGGAATCCGCAATTCAATATAGATGGATATATACCTCATTCATGTGTCTCTCTTCCTGCCATTTTGCCATTCCGTTTGGAATATTTGAACGGTCGTTTTTTTTATCTTCAATTTTGCCTGAAAACGGAGGAATGTCTTATAAGTTATAACTAACTATTCCATTAAACAATTAGAATTTGAAATAAATATAGAGTGGAAGATATATATGATATAATATTAAATATAGAACTCTAATAAAAAAATAAAAAGGATTCAAGTGACAAAAAAAGAAACGAAAAAGAACATTTGCCATTCAAACTGAAAATGAAATAAAAGCTAAATTTGTCTCTCACATATTCTCTCTGTAAACCAAACTCTTACTTTGAAAATCTACATAGTGAATGGTGTCATATATTTTCATTTTGCCATACTATTTGCATGTGAGATAAGAGTGTTTGTCGGTCGGTACGGTATTTAGATATTTCGGTTAGGTATTTTCGGTATTCGGTATTTTAAAATACTACCAATATCGTACATAATTAAATTCGGTATGGTTCTGTTTTTCTCCTCTTGGTTTTGGTTTACTCGGTTCGGTAACTTTGGTTTATTCGGCTTGAATACTAACTAGTAAGTAGAGTCATAGACTGTAATATTCTTAATTTAAGTACTCAAAAGTACAAAACTAAAAATGTTTGTTGACAAAAGTTTTGTCCAAAACCAGCAAATATCAACCCAGAGAGAGAAAACTGTACATAAAGGAATAAATTTGATCATTTGAAAAGTCTTATTACTTGCTTAGNTTCCGAGCTTACATCAATGACTTATGATGTACTCTCACGTATGAAAACTTGGGGTGTAACATCAGAGTTAATTGATGAACTTAAAGCATAACGGAAAGCAAAATTTTAGATTTTTTGTATTTATGTTATAATTAATAATATATGTATTGTGCAATATAATAAATATTTCGGTACGATATAGGTATTTTGGTATTTTATTTTAAAATACCAAATACCATACCTAATATCAATTTTTTTTTAGAAATTAAACCAAATACCATAACGAATACCAAAAGATTCGAATACTAAATACCAAAATTTTCGATATCAGTACAGTAATTAGGTATTTACCAAATTATACACCGCCCTAATGTGAGATGTATCTGATTTTCTCTATTTTATTGGAAAAAAGTAAAATTTGCTTTTCCGTATATTTCTTCTTATCCAAAGCAGCATGATACACATTTGACATGTGATTTTTTTTTAAAAAAAAAAATTTGAGAGTTAGGCTCAAGCCACACCGCAATTTATCAAGAGTGTAGTTTTTTAATGAGGTGTTGCAAATGATGTTACATTAATACTTTTAACTTTGTTATTTTTGACAGGATTTTTTACCCAAAAAAGTAGGCCAAAAGAGCTTTGAAACATTACACAAAAGTTCCATCAAACTTTTCGAGGAAGAGAAGAAATGTGTTGATAAGAAGGAAACAAAAACAAAGAGCGGAACCAAGTGTTCCTATAGCTCAAAGTCAAATACTAGACTATGCAAAGGTAAATTAGTTGTTTATTTACCTTTTATTTTCTCTAGTATGAATTAAATATGTATGTTGTATAGGTGGAGGGGCTCGAAATGCTAAAATTAGTGATAATAAAGAGGAAAGGCGCAAAACCTGGAATCCTCAAACATCAGTTTTCAACAAATACATGGAAATTCTGACAACAGAGGAAGAGACAAATTGGAATGAGCTTGCTCTTGTAAGTTAATTGCAC